TTTATATTTTATTTTATTTATTTATTTATTTATTTATTTATTTATTTATTTATTATTATTATTATTATTTTACTTTTCGAACTTTAGTTGAATTAGTAAATGTTAGATTTATGTAATTTAATTTATCTAAAGGTGTTTGATGACCATGGGAGAAGGCTTGTAGATTATAACACGGTAAAGACAACTGGTCTACATCCGCTAGAAGGTGCTCCAGCTACTGATGATGATGATGATGATGATGATGATGAAGAATTCTCCACGCCTCCTGAAGACTTGTAAGTTATCTAATCTTACATCCCCCAAAAACGTATGCTCAAGGAACCACGGTTAAGTGGGTGGGCCAGGTATCCGTTTGGAATAGCCAAGTGGTCGTTTTATAGAGATTTACTATAATACAGTTGAATATCTTGTAAGCGACCATATCGGGAATTTAAAAAGTGGTCATTAACTAGAGCTGGTTGCTAACGAGAATGGGATCTCATAGGTAGTGCTGCAAACAGGGTTTCAAATATTCGTGGTCGCAAGGAGAGCTTCGGCTGTAATGTGTAATAAACTTTTATACCATGGGCGTAATGTTTTCCCATGTGTCATTCCCTTGAGTATCATTTCCTTGTTTAATGAATGCAATGAAAAGACATGAATATAATACGACTCAAACAAAAAAAAAACATATTCTCAAGAGAGTGACACATGATCACCAATGGGAAAATATTAGACCAAAGGTAAATAGGTCTTCGTAGTAACTGTGGGAATAGTTTTGGGTGTAAGTTTAATAGAGTCTCTATAATGCAATTCCAGGGCATCAAAGACAGAGAGTGACAGACTGGAAGCTAAGAGAGCTATGTCTAAGCAAGTCGTTGTTGCTGTTAACTTTGAAATCGAGCAGGTGAATATCAAATATTGTTGTTCCCTTTGTTGTAATCTAGATAATATTGATCCACTTGGCGATAAGTACCGTATTTACTCGAATTAGCACAAAGTCCAGAATAAAYGCTGGATTCGAATAAATGCTGGGTTAACGAGGTCCAGTTTTGAATAAATACCATTTTATCAAGTAAATATGGTACTTTATTTCAGTACAGAGACGCGTTGCATGCGTTTGTTAATCGTATTTGTTACACCCTAAGCCTCACAATGGTGCCATGTATCAATGGGTTTGTTCACATGTCTTTTTGTCATAGACCCCATAGCACTAAATCCCTACCTGGGGGTCAAAACAGATTGAAAATATTTACATCATAAAGTATTGCAATCCTCAAGAAAATGGAATTCTTTTAATTACTTTGATGCCCAGATTGGGAATTAGTGCAAGGGGTCTTCACACCTTTTCACCCATGCTTTCCCATTACAGACAACGTGTCATTCTCTTGAGAATAAGATTCTTGGTTTAAGTTGTATGTCTTCTCATGTGCAAGCATTAAACAAAGAAATAACACTCTAAAGAATGACACATGGTCTGAAGTGAGCTAAACATTACACCCAAGATAAAAAGGTGTATATTAATGTCAAGAGTCTATTCCACGTATTGAAGACGAGTGTTCTAATAGGTTGGTGTGAGTGTAGGCTTTGAAGACGACGAAGGGAACCAAACACCATGTCTTGCTGTTAGCCTAGATCATCTTGGGACTAAAGTGACAATGCATCCATATGACCTCAGTGTTAAAGCATCTATTGGATCCTTTGCTGTGAAGGAGATGAGTAATGGCTTGAATGGAGAGCCTATATACCTCGTAAAGACACCTAAGGATTCTGCTCTACTTTCTGTCGACTATGTGAAGGTCAGTTGGCTTATTGGTAAACTTTTATTTTGTAGGAGCAAGTGTGGCTGAGTTGGTAAGTGAACTACCAACAAAGCTAGAAATACTAAATCTGATCATTGTTAATTTAACATGTATTTCCCCTAATGGCGTATAACTTTAGCTTTGGATACTCTTTAAACGGAGAACTTACTTTTCTTCTTGTCATCCTTATTGCTGTTGCATTCTGTTATTGTACAGTTTTTGTCATAACGTTAGCCTTTCTTTTGGTATTCCTTTTGTAACTTCATTGTGGCAAATTAGAAATCAGTTAGTTTGTCTACTTAATTTGTATACCGACATAAAATAACGTATACGTAATGTATGTATATGCACATGTTGTGACATTTTATTTCTCTTATGGAATTGCACTTTTGTTTTTCATAGTTAATAAGTGACTTGTTTTTTTTTTCTGAAGCCGTTGTTACTGTTACTATAATTGCTATCGTTCTACTATTTTGTTCATGTCATTCTCTATAGTAATGGTTGACTTTTCTTTTTTTTCTTCAGGCTGACAAGGAATCACCAGATTACCTTACCACATTCCTGTCCACAGAGCAGTCTATTATCGTAGACTTTACATTTCTTACGGTGCTGTTACATCAAGAGGCTCTACTCAGGCTCATGGACCTTTCAACCAAACTTATCCCGTCACTGTAAGCTTTACCATGAAAACCCTGGCTATTGTTCTCGTTGATAAACCATTGGGCCTTTTTTATTCCTAGCCCAGTAAAACCGTCTAAGATCAGCTGAATTCACATTTAAAATAAACCCTTGTGCATTTTTCCGGCTGCTAATGAGATTTTTTACTAACACGATGTATGTGAAGACGGGAAAAAGGTGACTAAAAACWAAATATTGACAACGGTAAACAACCATATGATTGTATTAAATGGTAAAAACAACACCTCAACAAAACAATCATAAAAAAGAGCAGCAATACTAAAACAATATCATAACACCAGCTATACCGACCAGACAATAGTAATTCCTTTCCTTTCCTTTCCTTTCTTTTCTCTTCTCTTTCTCTTTCTCTTTCTTTATATTTTGAAAACTTTGCAAACACACGCTGATTGTCCTTCTATTTTTTACATTGTCATTCCAGGGAAGAAAATAAACAAACGATAGTGGACAAGTCCCACGAGATACAAGGAGAAATCGCTAAACATAAAAGCAAGAGCACCACAAACCTACCGGTTAAGAAAGGCAAGAAAAAGAACAAGAGTGACACCCTGGATGTCATGGTGGACGTCAAGGCTAAACTGGGTGGAATATCTGTGCTAGTGACTTCAAAACAAGGCGGGGATATCACTAGTATTCTGATTGGAGGTATACAATTGAATCATTCAGTTTACTCTCCTTGAAAATACAATATCGAACAAAGCCTTTCGGACCTTTTGTAGCATATTCAATTTACTGCAGCGTCTCCCCCACTCCCTCCTCCCTTCCGCTTTCCCGCTTTCCCTTCCCCT